TATAATTAAATGAATGGTGAATAAGAACCATTCTTTTACGCAGTTTAATTTTTTTCATAATACAAATAAATTATATTGAGTCAATATAATAGGCTCATTATATTGACTCAATATATATTTAATTATTATATTATGGAAGTAATTATATATTATTTAAGCAAACAGATGCAAAAAAAAATTTATATAGTCTTTAATAAATACAATTAAGGAAAATAACTAATTCTACTTTTAGAGATTATTTTTGATGAATGTAGTAACATTTGATTTCCTTCACATACCATAGATTTATTTATAAGGAATATAAAAATTTTAAGTATTTTAAAAAATAACCAACTCACTTTATTAATTTCACAATAAGAAAGGTTATAATAACCTAAACTTGATATTGGTATTTGAGTTAAAATATTCAAAATTTTAATGTTTCTGGTTGATTAGTTTTCCAAATACTCAAATATATATGTAATTTGAAAGTGATAAGTGATATTTTGTTAGTAAAAGGAATGCTAATGTTCTTTATGGTATGCTATTTAATATTTGATTGATTATTGATATGAGCATAAGGATGATATTTAGAATAGTTTATAATATTTGTTCAGCAATAATTCAGGAAATGCTATAAATTATTCATCCATAAAATGGATTTTGAAAACAGTAAAATACAATCAAAATAAGAATGAATGTCAATTCTGCCAAGTTTTATTTAAATTCATTGTATTATAATAAGCAGGGATGTAGTAAATTAAATATATTAAAATTTTAATTATAGAGTTGATATTTTGAATTGATAAGCATTATAATAGAAAAAAATTTCAGAAATTTTTATTAAACTCATTGTGAATTCATTATCATCATGTTCAATTGCAAATTAGACATATATAGTAGTCAGGCTATCATTCTTGAGACTTATTTCTTGAAAGCTAATGATATAAATATAAGCTGTATATAATAATTAAGAATGATGATTCTCATATTTTGTAATTGATGTTTAAAATTATGAGAATTTCACAGAATCTAGAAAATCAATGAAAAAAATAATGATTATTTATTTTATATAAGTTAGAGTAATTGATGCATTTTCATAATAATGAAATAATCATCAGTATAAATATAAGAATACTAATATTTAATTGATTATTTATTAATACGCTCATAAATATGGAATCAAGAAAAACATACTAAAAAATAGAAATTACAGATATCATTAAATATCTAATATGGTTTATGATTTATCTTTCGATTATTGCTTATTTTTTATACTCTCATGAAGTGAAAGACTTTGATATTTATAATAATTATCATACAAATCTCAAAAAAAAAAAGATTTCTGAAAAAAAGTGCAAAAAATGTACTACGTTTATATTTCATTATTTTAAAGATTTTATTATAAGTAATAATTATATATGATTATTTTTTTTTGCATCATTACTATAAAGGCTTGCAAAGTTCCTTATGAGTTGTAAAATCTATATCCTACAAAAGGTGAAAGATTAGAAATAACAATGGATAAGTTTATCTCAGGTAATAATCTAACTTATTATTTGTAAACACATTAATAAGGCATCATGGTTTAGAATTTAATCAAAGTCAAATAAGTTTAAAAAAATAGTAATTTATTATTTTTAGATAGATTATACATTTAAATCTGTTTTATTTAACTACAGAACCTTCTTTAAACATAGATATGAAAACAAATGGAAAAATGCCACTTTAATAATTATAAAAAATAAACATTAGCTCAAACATGGAATGTTTTAGTATTACATACACAGAATTTTATAATATTATTTTAGATTGTTAGTAAAATTAAACATTATTTCTATTTACTTTGAAAGATTCCTAACTTATTTAGATATACACATAAAACAGTACTACTCCTAATTAAACTAAAATAAGCACTATTGTCACGAATTAATAAACATATATTATTTATGGATAATTTTTAATTAAAAATAACAAAGATTTGAGTTGGACCATATTGAATTTGACGGTTTTATATGAACAAGAAAAAGATTCTTTTATAAATACACATAATTTATAAGAAAATTCATCTAATTTTTTTGCTTCTTAAAGGAATTCTACAAACTAAACAATATTTATTTAATTATAGAGAAACATATTATCATATGTATTATCAGAAGATAAAATGCTCATACTGACCAAAAACATGTCATTCTATTATGAAATTATTAAAATGGCTTATTATTACTCTTAAGATAGATGTTTTTACAGTGATACATTAGATATATAGATTTTTTATTCTAAATAATAACCAATATTATAATCAATTTCAGAAAATTAATATATCTAAATCCTAATTAGCAAATAATTCATTGTTATATATAATAATTGTTTAATTAGTATCTTGAATAATGAAAGATTTAATTAAATATTATTTTATTAATTTAAGGCAGAAAATATTTAATACTGTTATATACCTTGATAAATTCAATGAAGAATTATTTATTTTTGGTTAAGATATTAGAATCTTTAAACTTGTTGTACTTTTTTTAAGTTTAGCATCAAATGAGAATAATGGCAATTTTACAATTCAAGGTTTAGAAGTATATGATCATTTTAAAATAAAATTATGCAAAGTTTTGATTAATTATACTTATTTAAACGAATTAGATAGCAATATATATTTAAAATATTAATATGAATAACAGTCATATTATAATTTATTGTAATTTCCTTTTGTATATTGGATTACCCATCTTTCAGGGCCTCTTGTTTAAGTGATAGTTAATGTAAGCAATCCCCAATTAGGTAATTTTTCTGATAAAACATTGCTTAACGACAATTAATAATTATAATAAAAATAAAAGTATTATATGGTAAAAGCTTTTTCTGTTAATTTGTTTTAAGAATGTAAAACTAAAAATTTTAGTTGTATTTTTGTTGTTGCTGTAAGTGCTCAAACAATTGACATCTATTAGGAAGGAAAATTATAACCTTTTAGTTCTACAGATATTGGGTAAATGAAGATTAATGTCACTTAAATCGAAATTACTTTTGTAGTTCTAAATCGATAATTTTACTTTATAATTTGCCTAAGTTTTGGTTAAAATATCATTTACATATATTAATATGACAGTAAATTATTTAAAATTAACAATATCATTTTAAACACAGAACCATTTTAATAGTTTTAACTATTAACTAATGCAGTAGTCTTATTATTAAATACAAATTAAATAGCAATAACAACATTTGATAATAAAAGTTTAATTTTTTTTAATTTTTAGATTTTTTAAGAGATTTCTATCGATGCAATTAAATTAAATTTAATAAATATATTTATTAATTAATAATACTAATCTAGAGTGTTATACATAAACAATAAAAATAGTTTTATAATAGGTTACATTATGGAGTAATTTAAATTTCTGTTAATATCAATTTAACTTGTTATTTATGAAATTTAAAATCTTTAAGTTGTAAATAGTCTCTTAATAATTTCTTGGATTCCTTAGAGTGAGAAAGTTGTTAATTTTGATGTTTGGAATGTTTACAATGCGACAAACTCAAGAAATTAAGGAAGAATGAGATCTATTAATTATGAACTAGATAAAATGTATATTAACTACTATTCAGATAATCTATTTTATTATGTTTAAATTGGTTTAAATTTGAATGTATATAATCCAAATTTACCTCAACATTCAAGTCTTTATTAAAGAATTCTATTTGATGGTTTATATTTCACAAGTATTGCTATTGATCAATTGGCATTTCTTTGTTTTAATTAGAGCTTTTATTTACTTTCACCTATTTTAATTCAAACTTTTTAAAATAACACCTTACATTAAAATTTCTTTACATTATAAATTTTTAATCTCACATTTTACTCATAATTTAATCATTCAAAATCTATTCATGAGGGAAACAACTCAGTAACAATAATATATGATTATTTATATATCGATTTTAATTAAACTCTGATTAATGTAAATAAATTTTAATATCATGTTGAAATTTTTAGAAATAATATTTCATTTTCAGGTTAAGCTTTATAATTCATTATAACTAATAAAAGTTAATATGTGACTTATAATTTGACAAACAATATTGGAAATCCTTAAAATTAAAATTAAAATACTGTATACAATTAAATTATTTAATATAATAAGACTTAATTTTTCTTAATGAATAATTCGGCAATCTTAAATTACTCTTCTAATTATTCTCGTAATTTTGGTTATTATAATGCATGTTTAGCTTCAGCTACTTAGGACTTAACTATTTATGCTTTTTGTTAAGATAGATAATCTCACTATTAAATAATAAGTATGGATTTATCAAATTTACAAAATGATATTATTCCTAACCAAATTATAAATTTAACAAATTTTTCTTATAAATAAAATGTTTGGATAAGAATATAAAATGATCAACTTTATATTTGGGATGGTTGTTAAACAATATTTCATTAATTCAGTCAAATAACAGTAGTAAGGTCAATTTATTTGTAAAAGTACTTAATTTGGATTTTAGACCATTCAATAATAATTTATGTTTATTTTACACTAATTCATAAAGATAAATTATTTTATAAATTTGTTGATAGATTTTCAAAAGTTAATAATGAAATTGAAAACTTTATTCTTTTAGAAAGCATTACATAATAATTTTATTCATTCGAAACTATACCTAGGATTGTTAGAAAAAAGAAAGAAATTATTATTATGATTTCTAATCCTAATTTTAATTTAGTTGTATCATTTCTTCTGGTAATAAATAAATACAATATAGCAGCTAGCCAAATACTTTTTTAAAGCATTATATAAACATCTCCGCCATTTGAGAAACATAATTTTACAATCTCATAACTACCATAATATGATTAAGGATTATTATTATTTATGTATTCTAACAAATCAGACATTAATAATTAACAACATATGATTATCTATTACAATATTTCAGATTATTCTAATCCCAATCACTTAACTCCACTACTTTTTCAAGGTGGATATAATTTTACACTTAATTAAACTTTGGTAAATGATTTTTCATTTATAGCTTATAATAATTCATGTGGATAAATATTAATTCTTACTAATAATGGCAGCACACTCTAACTCTAATTAAATATATTCTCTATCAAAATAAATTTAACTGACTTAAGAAAAAACAGTACTCTAAATTTAAAAGCTTATAATTTTTCCAATTCAGGATCTGCTGAAATAATTGTAAAAAATGAAAGATCAAAAGCATATTTGAAAGTATATCCTTTTATATCTTGTTTGGAATTACAATTATTGTTTTATTAACATCTGCATTTATTTATTATAATTAATAAAAAGATAATAAAGAAGAAGAAATTAATTCGGAAGATGAATTATGATCAATCAAAATATTATGATTATTATTATTATTATTATTATTGAGTATTTAATCATCTTAATTATTAAGAATCTTCTTTTGTTATTTATTAATGTACTTTAAAAAATTTAAATAAGTTAGATTTTTTTAAAGTGAGTAATTAAAATATTATGACAGATGTATGTTCATTTTTTGAAAAGTAAAGTTGATTCTTAGCATTTCTTATTCTTAAGTTAGGTTAAAACCATTAAATGATAGGGCAATATTATCGACTGAATATTTTATGAATAAAATTAAGAATATTAGAAATATATTTTGATAAGTCATAGATAAGGAAGTTTATTAGGATTATAAAGGAATTCTATAAAATTCATCATTTAATTAATAAATTTAGATAATCAATGAAGACTTAGAAATGTATTAATTATCATAGATGCAGCATTTATAGATAAACTAGAAAAATGAAATTCAAATTAGTTTAAAGCTTGCATTATTCATTAATAAAATGTTAATTACGATTTTATATAAGTTTTTTCTCAAGATTAAACTTGTTAAAGGGAAATTTGGACATTTAAGAATGAGTTGCACTATAAGTTAGTTTAGTATTTAAATGGCTTTTAAAAGAGAGAGTCTTACTGCCATTATTTGAAACTTCTAAGGCCTTTTTAGAGGAAAAAAGCGTTATTGTCCTTTTCACAGTTTTGCATAATTAAATTTTAGTTCAATTGTATTATTTTAATTAATTTATAAAACAAAAATTAAATATTCATAATTATATAAATAATAATATTTAACTGAAAAATAAATAAAAAGATGTAAATTTATTATCCATAAGCAAGGTCTATTGCTGCCGCTAATAAATTTTGATATGTAAATGTGAGTGTTTTAAGTTATTGAATAATAGAAAAAAGACTGTATAAAAAAAATAAATCTCGAAAATGTTTAAAAGAGATTTGATCTTTTCTAAATGAATGATTCTTATCCTCATCAAAAAAATTGTAAAAAAATAAAATATATAATACATTGAAAGAAGAACCATAATAGATGAATAGAGTTTTGCACTTTACAATCAACTTTAAAGGACTGCATTTTAATTGTTGAATTTGAATAACTAAAGCTAACCTTATTTAATTTCAATATATTAGATATCAAAATTCTAAAAAATTTTCAAATAATATCATATAATAAATAATTTATTTATTTTCTGCTACTTCAAAATTATCTATATTAAAGATTTATTGATAAATAATAATAAAATTAGCAATAGTAAATGCATCGATTTTTAAACAAATTATTTAGATTAACTAAAATTTTAATATTAGGGATTTGAACTTAAAAAATATAGTTCGAATGATAAATAAAATGAAATTCCATTTCTACACACTAAATATCTATCATTCATAATCTAGATAATCAGGTTAGAAGGTTAGATCCAAAAAGATTGAATAAATTAATTTGAGATGGTAAAATCTTATTATAAATTTATGAGAATTAAATCAAAAAAAACAAAATTTGATTAAAATGCTATTTCAAACTCAGTTTTTATCAATCAGTGTTTCCAATTTACAACTTGGCATCTATAATGAAGTTTAAATTAGATATTTTTGAGTATTTAACAATTTTTTAATCATTCAAAATAGTGATTGTTAATTCTGATAAAATAAATAATGATAAATGAATCTCATTATTTAATATTCTTAATCAACTATATAGATTTATTGGAATTAATAATATTAATATTAATCTTTACAAACTATATGTTTAACTAATCAACATATAAATTCTATATTCGATTACTAAAATTAAAAATAATGTGATAGGAAAAAAAGATTTTTGATTCATTTATTTTGGTTGTATTCTTATTCATAATTTAATAAAGGAATTGTAAAATAAGAAATTTTACTACTAAAATCTTGTTCTATATCAAAAATATATTTCCTTCAGATATTTTTGTGCTAAATTTATTAAAGATCAACATCTTGATATGAATGGAGAAATTATTTATTGAATATCTTGAGCAAAACTTCTTAATACATTAAAAATATTTTCTTAAATATTAATATTTATAATAAAAATAATAATCATAAGTTTATATTTGGATTTTTAATTATATATAATGATATTGAAAAGCTTTTAAATACATAAAAATTATGGAATTCAAAAATAACAGTAAGAAGTATGTGATAAATTATTTAATAATCTCATAAAAATTAAGAATTTATAAAATATTAATTAAATATTTTCAAATCATTATAAATTTTCAGGACTAATATTTATCTTTGCAATTAAACCTATAAATAATAAAGCAAAGTTATTTTACATTTCACATTGAGGTATCATCAATAAAAATCTCCATTCATTAGAAAACTCTTGATTTAGGTAATAATAATTAAAATTTTTTTTTAAGTATTTAGTGGATTCAATATTCAAATAATAATAAAGACAGTCTATATCAAAAATAAAGATTTTGAAGGAAGGACAAGCAAAGAAATGGGCAAATGAAAGAAATCAATTTTGACATTGGTTCATGGTCTTTGCCTTTGAAAAGAAAAACTTAATTAATTATATAAATATCATCAATATAATTATTGAGGTTTGACTCTATTTATTTGATTTTGATATTTGAGTTAGGCTCTAAAGAGAAATAGATCTAAATTCATCTACCTGAATTTAATTATAGAATAATGATTCTTTCTAGAAAAAATAATTTATTTAAATAACATATCAAGTTTATTTTTTTAAAATCATCTTTGTCAAATTGGAAAAAGTAGTATAGATTCAATTTTTATGACAGTTATTCTTTATTAAAGGATAAATTGATATTCTTAGGATATTTTATTGATTATTAGGAAAGAATTAATATCATTATGAAGATATTTTAGAATTTATATCTGTTTTCTTTTTTGGAAATTCTTTCTTCTTAATACATATCTAAAATGAATTAACAATATTAATAAGAGGAGTATAATCTAGATTTGAATAATTTATTANAGAAATACAATTTATCTAGGTAATTTATTAATATAGTGGAGTACCAATGAAAAAAGAGTGCAATCAAATTTTTAAATTTTAAAAGCACATTTATTAAAAATATCAAAAGCATAAATCAAAACTCAAAAGTATTATCATTTTATAAACTAGATCCTTTTACAATATTACTCCAAATTAAAATTTGGCATCATTAACCAGATATAAACAATTCAATACAACTAAAAATAGAATCTTATTAACATTAGAATAATGATTTAAATTTTAAAAGTATATATAATTAAATATTTCATTATTATAAATTTTGTTTATAATCTAAAGAAAAATAATTATAGTTCTTTTATCTGCTAATTAATTTAAATTTTGAATTTTATATCAAGAAATTTTAATGAACACCTTATTATTTTGTTATTAATTAGGCTACTAATTTATTTAGGTTATTTTTCTATAAATTTAGAATTATTTTTCATTTTATTTTAATCAATATGAATTCGAATTAGTATATATACTAATTTAATGTGTAGTTTTTATAAATTATAGTAAAATTTGGAAATTTATGACATCGATGTTATGCTTCCTTTTTAATTAAAATAGAGGAATCTGCTTTACAGGTTGATGATCATTAAATATTATGAGAATTTTTATGATCTGATTCAATAAGTATTTTGGTTCTAGAATCAGAAAATTGCCTCTTTTAATTTCATTAAGATCTAGTCATTCTATAAAAGATTTTAAAATATGTATATAATAATTTTGAAGAAATTAAAGAGACCAGTTTTTCAAATGAAAAGTAATTTAAAATGCAGTTCTTAATAAGAATAGTTGGAGCTGTTAAATAAAAATGATGGCAATAATATCTTACAACTATTTTTCAATTTTAGATGACATAATTATTATAATATCTAAAAGACCTTCCATATTTTCTTTCTCATTACTAAATTAGAAATTTAAAGAGAAAAGAATTTAATTGTTTCTAAAATTGTAAAATAATAGATTTTTAATAAATATCATCACAGGTGATTTGGCATTATTGAAATTTAAATAAAGTAGTAAGATTAATAATTAATTTGCATATTATTTCAAAAGTTAAAATAGATCAGAAAGTTAGGAAATATATATAAAGAATGTTAAAAATATCAAATACATGAGGTCATATTTCTTAACAAGAAGAGGAAATATAAGAATAATATAAATAATATCACAATTTTTATTTATATATAATCCTTAAAAGTATTCAAATAATATATACTAAGTTAATTATTAATTTTCTGCTACTTCTTAAATATCAATATTATAGAATCAATGATTGTTAAATGAATGATAATTTCAGATAGTAAAGATCTTTTTTTAGAATTAAACCATACAACTTGATATGAATATCATTTATTAAATATCTTGAGCACAAACTTTATTAAAAAACAGAGAATACAGATTTGTAATATATATATATTAATTCTTGTATTTTTTATAGCTATTCTGGAATTTAAAAACTTTCTAATGCGGCAAAAATTTGGAATACAAAAATATCTGAAACATGTCATATTTTATTAATTAAACTATTAGAAATCAATGATTTATTAAATATAAATAAAAATATTTTCCAATTTTTATCAATTTTGCATTGAGGTATAGTTATTATCATCTACATTCATTAGAAAACTCTGAAGATAATTAATAATAATGATTAATAATTTTTGAGTATAATGTTGATTAATGATATTTATATAAAGTCTAAATCAAAGAAGCTCTGTTGAAGGAAGGATATTCAAAGTAATGTTTAAATGAAAGAAATAAATTCCAACATTTGAGTTAGACTTCTCAAAGAAAGAGCAGATCTACAATCGTCAATCCGATAAAAAATGAAAAATTGTGAAATTTTTTGGAGAAAATATAAAGTAGAAAAAATAATAATTAAAGTAGTTTATGATAATTAAATTATTAAATTACAACATAGAATCAGATGATTCAAATAGTTTTCAAAATAATTAATAAATTCCGCAATTTTTTTTTTCTTTTATAGATTCCATTTTTTTTATAACAGATTTACTTTATTAATAGATAAATACAAAATTAAAGATCTTATTGATTATTAGGAAATAATTAATATCATTATGAATATATTTTAGATTTTCAATTGGTTTTCTTTTTTGGAAATTATCTCTTCTTAATCCCTATAGAACTTTAATTAAAACTATTAATAAAAGGAGTACAATTTAGACCTGAATGCTTTATTAATAGAAGATTGTGGGGTATTCACTGGAATATGGTCTAAATATAATCCTTTAGGTATAACATAATAAATAGGACCTGTTGGATTAATGGATAGTAATTGCTTTCATTTACAAAGCTTAATTGGAAAATCATCAAATAGTTTGGAATAAATAAATTATGATTGCCTTTTCCCAGAAAATAAAAGTATCAAAAAATTTGTATAATTTAACACTTAAGATGGCCAATAACATTTATATTAAATAGAAATAAACCCTTCTGAGTATGAAAACGTTTGGTATTTATTTGAATTATTATACTATCCTTAAAAAGGGATTTCAGAATTCATAATATTAAAAGAAAATTAAATCTTGATGTATAAAAAAGTAGACACTCTTCTTTTTTAAGAAAATAATTTAAAATTAACTATTGGAGGTAGTCTCATTGTACAAAATTCAAATATTAAATCAATAGAGGTAGGGTCAAAATTTTCATATTTTCCAGGGAAAATGTATCAGATAAGTTTAAGGCCTTGTGAACTATCTAACTTTGAATTAGAATAAGGGATTATATTATATGAGAATTATTTTGATGATGTTGCTGAAATTGAATGTGTACCGATGATAAATTCTAAAATAGAAGATTAATATTTATTTTGGTTAGATCAAAAATATTATATTTCATAATAATTAAACATAGATTCTTTTATATTGACTGGGTGGTTTAGAATAAAAAAAATACATCAAATTGATAATGAGTTTACATATCAATTTTTAAAAATGAGTAAGAATACTAAATTTGAACAACTCTCTAATCCTAATTTATCCCCATTTTAATTGTTCTATAAAATATCTCCAAACAATAATAAAATAATATTTACAACTTATAGTTATAATTATCCATCTGTTACTTTAGATTTTACTAATAGTGATAATAATAATATAATTAGTGAAGAATTTGATATAAATGATAAAATTACTCTATGGCACAGTTTATTTGTTAATTTATAATAAGATTAAATTTACATTCAAATTAAATTTTTTGAATAGTATGATGTATTTGAATATTCTACTTCTATTTAAGTTAAATAATTCCGTTTTGTATAATTTTAAATAGAATATGGAAATTTAATGAAATCAATTAATAATTATCTAGATATTCAAATTAGAAATAATATATTTTATAATTGTTAATAATTAATAGAATATCAAAATTGTCATTTCTCATGTTAAGATTGTGATGGTCCTACAAATACAGATTGTTTATCATGTTCTGAAACATCATAAAGAATATACATACCTGAACATAAAGCCTGCATTTGTCCTTATAATTATTTAGATGATTAAATTAATTAAAATTGTCTATCATTTTCTGATTTATCATTTGATATTAAAGATTTATAATAGGATAATAAATGTAAATTTGGTTATTTTGAGTATGATGATTCATGTTATTCATGGTAAATTATTTATTTATATATAGTCCTTCAATTATTTCTGATAAATTAATTACATGTTTAGAGTGTTTATAAAATGTAAAAGATTGGAAAGATAATGCATATTGTTAAACATAGTTATATATAAAACCTAATGGTAATACTGTATAGACAAAATGGGACACATAATTTGATGTTTTCGTTTTTGATGTTTTAAAACCATATTTGTGTAAATAATGCAGAGATAATCAATTTTCTAATATTGATAGTATATTCTAACTATTCTCTTAATTGCAATAAAGATTTAATTCTTTTTGTTAAAGCACTTAGGATTATTTTGATTACTATGAGTAGATAAATACTTGTTATTTATGTAAGTTGGATAATTGTCGAAGATGTTCAATAGAAATGACAGGGATAAAATGTATTAAATGTCAAGGCAACTTACCAATAATAGATGGATTCTGTAAGCATGTAAAGACGAATTTACCATTATATTCAAGTTGTAGAGTTCCTTATTATTAGAATTCCCAAAAAGAATGTTAATTATGTCCTATAAAATTTTGTAAATATTGTTTTGAATATAATAAAAATGATTTGTATAAATCCACTTTATATGCTAATTTTGAGAAATTTGAGATGGATAATTTTTTTGGAATAGGATGTGCTCTTTGTGAAGAAAATTTTATTTTTGATTTTACAATTGGAGAATGCATCAAAAGAAAACCTTCCTTACCTAATTGCTTAAGGTCATTTGTTAATTTAGAGAATTAAGAAATATGCACTTTATCATCTACTGATTTTAGTATAGCATTAGAAATTATTAATTGTGCTAAATTAATTCAAAATTGTTTATAATGTGTTATCACTCCTTGGTAGGAAATTAAATGCGTAATTTGTAAAGTAGGGTTTACAGCTTCAGTCAGAAGAGGAAATTGCTATCCAAATTTATCGTTTAATGCAATAATTGTCATTGATGGAGATAATAAAGATTCTGATGCCTGGGTTTAGAGAGTTCAAAGTTTCATAATGAAATTTTTACCAAACAAGTATTTTTATTAACGAAATTATCTTCTGATGGGCCCTCAAGAGATGGATTCAGAATACTAATATTAATATGAAATAGAATGTAAGGAAGGATACTAAACAAATTACATGTATAGTTGTGTAAATTATTGCACTTCAGAATGCTTGAATTGCTTAGAGGATGAGTGGTATCACTAATTCTACTGTGCATAATGCCCATTAAATTATTACTTTGAACCTATTCTTAATTAAGAAGAAGGTTAATGCATTAGGTGTCCTGAATTATGTGAAATTTGTGAATAAAGATCTAAAGATGAAATCTAAGTAAATATTGTATTTATTCTTTAGAAACTAAATCCATATTTTTAGATAACAAATGATAATCGAATGTATTCTTATAGATNTTCATGGTAAATTATTTATTTATATATAGTCCTTCAATTATTTCTGATAAATTAATTACATGTTTAGAGTGTTTATAAAATGTAAAAGATTGGAAAGATAATGCATATTGTTAAACATAGTTATATATAAAACCTAATGGTAATACTGTATAGACAAAATGGGACACATAATTTGATGTTTTCGTTTTTGATGTTTTAAAACCATATTTGTGTAAATAATGCAGAGATAATCAATTTTCTAATATTGATAGTATATTCTAACTATTCTCTTAATTGCAATAAAGATTTAATTCTTTTTGTTAAAGCACTTAGGATTATTTTGATTACTATGAGTAGATAAATACTTGTTATTTATGTAAGTTGGATAATTGTCGAAGATGTTCAATAGAAATGACAGGGATAAAATGTATTAAATGTCAAGGCAACTTACCAATAATAGATGGATTCTGTAAGCATGTAAAGACGAATTTACCATTATATTCAAGTTGTAGAGTTCCTTATTATTAGAATTCCCAAAAAGAATGTTAATTATGTCCTATAAAATTTTGTAAATATTGTTTTGAATATAATAAAAATGATTTGTATAAATCCACTTTATATGCTAATTTTGAGAAATTTGAGATGGATAATTTTTTTGGAATAGGATGTGCTCTTTGTGAAGAAAATTTTATTTTTGATTTTACAATTGGAGAATGCATCAAAAGAAAACCTTCCTTACCTAATTGCTTAAGGTCATTTGTTAATTTAGAGAATTAAGAAATATGCACTTTATCATCTACTGATTTTAGTATAGCATTAGAAATTATTAATTGTGCTAAATTAATTCAAAATTGTTTATAATGTGTTATCACTCCTTGGTAGGAAATTAAATGCGTAATTTGTAAAGTAGGGTTTACAGCTTCAGTCAGAAGAGGAAATTGCTATCCAAATTTATCGTTTAATGCAATAATTGTCATTGATGGAGATAATAAAGATTCTGATGCCTGGGTTTAGAGAGTTCAAAGTTTCATAATGAAATTTTTACCAAACAAGTATTTTTATTAACGAAATTATCTTCTGATGGGCCCTCAAGAGATGGATTCAGAATACTAATATTAATATGAAATAGAATGTAAGGAAGGATATTAAACAAATTACATGTATAGTTGTGTAAATTATTGCACTTCAGAATGCTTGAATTGCTTAGAGGATGAGTGGTATCACTAATTCTACTGTGCATAATGCCCATTAAATTATTACTTTGAACCTATTCTTAATTAAGAAGAAGGTTAATGCATTAGGTGTCCTGAATTATGTGAAATTTGTGAATAAAGATCTAAAGATGAAATCTAAGTAAATATTGTATTTATTCTTTAGAAACTAAATCCATATTTTTAGATAACAAATGATAATCGAATGTATTCTTATAGATGTATTAGACCAATTTCAAATTAAAATGTTGTAATAGATCCTTACTTTTAAATTGCTAAATATTGTTTTACTCCAAATTGCAATTAAGAATACACTTTTAAATAGTCTATATTTGAAGAAAATTCAGATTATAAAATTGATATCCACTATTGTAACTAAATCGGATTATAAGTCTTAAAATTTTAAAATAACATGGAAGAGGAATAAAAAAGTTTAACCTATTTAACCTATATAACTGAATTAAAATCATAAATTTTTAGCCTAAAATTTCTGAAAACTGAATTTAATCTATTTTACAAATAGACTAATTTTGAACTTATATCTGGTTTTGATTCTATAGAAATCAATAATGCATATTTCAAAATCGAAACTAAATATTTTGAATTCAAAAATAACAATTAGAAAGTAGATTTTATCTTAAATAACATAATAATTGAACAAAATGAAATTAACAACATAAATTCTATATTTTATTCAGAATTATTTGGAGATATTACTTTGAATAACATAACAATTATTAATTCTAATATCTACATGTCATCATTATTTAATTTTAATTAAAAATTGTAATAAGGTACTATAAAAATATAAAAAATGACTTTTTTAAATTGTTAAATTGTTAATTCACAATTATTTTAGTTTCTTAATAATTAAATTTAAATTTAAATTGAATAATTGGTTATTAATAAAACCTTTTTTTCAAATTCATCTTTTATAACTTTTTTTTCAAATGTTGATGATAAAAGCAATTTGAAAGTCAAAGAAATAACAATAACATAAAGTTAATTCCTTTAATCATTTATTTTTAATTGTACTAATTTATTAAATATTTATATATATAGTTTAATTTTGGATTAAAATTCATTAATATTTTCAACTATTATTGCATTTAATAAGAATTTAACCTTATTTTAATCTTAAGCAAATAATAACAATTTGATTGAATCATAATTTTTAAACACTCTAGAGACAGAAAGCAAGAATAAGATATATTGTTAAGTAGAAAATTACATAGCAATCAAAAATTATTATACAAATTCTAGTCTATTTTAGATCTCAATTGAAAACATGTATTTTCAATTCAGAACAGTTAGAATTGAACTAAACTAAGGATAAACTAATTAATATCTAGAAATTGGTCTATTTAATATCCATAGTTTTCAGATAGATATTGAGGATGTTTACATAGTTGATTCAAATTGGATTAGTATATTCTATTTTTTTGAGGTTTCTCAAATAATTGTATCAAACATAGTTTACCAAAATCTGAAGATTAATAATAAAGTTCCTTCTAATTTAAATTGTATAGATTTCAAAAATTTTAATTATCAATTGCTCTTAATTTCTGGATATTCAATTGTTACCCTTAAAAATATCACAGCTATTAAATTATTTACAATTGATTAATCATTAATAGAAATATCATCAACTAGAAAAAAATGGAATAATATGCCTTCAAGTATAGAATTAAAAAATTTGAAATTTATAGAGAATTTAATATTGCATTAGTATCAATCCAATTATTTCTCATTGATCTATGTAAATTCTGAACATAATAATAACATTTAGATATAAAATGTTTTTTTTTTAAATAATATCATTCATTAATAAACAGATGATCTTTAAGATTCATCAGCAGCATTAATTCATCTAGAATCATTTAAAGGATTTATTATAATAAATAATCTCTACTGTTCTTAAAATGCTCTGACTAATTCATCAAATTCATTTATTTTTTTAAAATCTGAAATCATCAAATTAACAAATTATACTGTTTCAAAACATAATATACTACCTTTAGAATTATGGAAGTTATATTATGATTTATAATTAGGAAATGATTAACATAAATATGATTAGGAATAAATAAATATAATCATATAATAAACTTTTAAAATAAAGAATAAATGTGGTGCTGGTTAAATAACCGCATCTACATTTTCTTGCTTAAATTGTTATTTTGAGGATATTATTGCATTAAAAAGTTCTGTATTTGAAATAGAAACTTAAGGAGAGGGAAATATCTAATTAAGAAATTTAACAATAATTTCTTCAGAATATGATCTAAGTTAAATAACAGATAGTTCAGGTTGTATTACTATTTATTCATCTAATAGTTTACTTAATTTATAAATCATTAATGCATCATTTAATAATATTTTTAATCGTTTATCAGCATCAATTTTTACACTAATCCCATCTTTTAAAAAAAATTAAATTTTAATTGAAGATGTGATAATTAAAAATTGTATTTCATTGAAAAATCCAATAATTAATATATTATTTTCAACATAGAATATTAATTCAAATAAAGTGGTTATCAAAAATGCAAATATCAACTTTTAGGAAAATACTTGGATCAAATATTTTTAAAAGACTGGGATGCTAAATGAAATTTAAATATTAGATATAACAAGCACCTCTAATGCTTTAATTCAATTACAAAATTGCAATGTCGTTTTATATCAGGTAATTATATAAGGTCTTTTTAGTTGCCCTTTAATTAAATTGATAAATGTATCATATTTATTAATTTCATAATTATGGGCAATTGAAATTAAATTATTTTATGGTTTCAATCTTTTAGAATTGAATTAAGATTTATCAATAAAATAAACAATAAATATTAAAAAAGGAAATTTTTAACGCATTAAAATTTATGAAGTTATTAATAATTCAATCTATTAAACTTCTAAAATAAATTATGTGATCTAAGGATGTTTTGTAATTGAAAAATAATAACAATAATCGACTTATTCTTTTGATTAAATTATTAAACTTTTTTAAATCCTCCCAGAAAGCAAGTTCAATAATTTAATTTCAATTTAATTCAAATAATACTATTTTTCATATTTAAAATTTAATCCTACATGAGATTAATTGTTCCTATTGTGAAAATGGATTGATGTTTTTCAATGTTTAAAACTACAAAACTCTAAAAATTAAAGATCTTATTTGTAATTCTAATCTAATAAAATAATATGGATGTATGAATATTGCGACGATTAATTACATTAATCATAGTAGTAAAATTTAGAATTCTAATTTCTTTAATAATAATGGCAGTTATGGGGCTGCTATATATTCAACAAAAATACCTATTAAGATTACTCAGTGCAATATTATTAATAATATCGCCAGTAATTAAGGTGGTGCTATATATTTAGATATGGATACCAAATATTTAATTATAAATAGATCATCAATTATTTATAATCATGCGCTTGAAGGAGGTGGAATATACTTATTTGATAAAGGAAAAATCAACTAAGAAAATTTTATTTAAACCTTCATGTAATTCAACAAAGCTGACTTTTTATCAAATAATTTAGTTGAATTTCCAACCCATTTAAGTCTATTTATTAATTCTTAAGAAATGTAAGCAGAAGAACTTATATTTAATAACATGAAAATAAGAATTCTTAAGTTGAAACCTTATAAAATAATAGAATAAGGTGTTATTAAATTAAGTCAGTATTTGATGATACCAAGTTAATAAATAATCAAAGAATATAAAAATTATATACCATAATTTTTAATTTTTTAGAACATATTAAATGATCTATAAATAAATTTAAAAAATAGTAGAAATGAATTGTTATAAAATTCACTTCAATTCTCTTGCTTTGTATCATAAAAAATTGCTCAATTAAATTAGGTTTACTCATTTTCAGAATTTAAATTAATTAGTTCTATTTAAGCTGATGAATTTAATCACTTTGATTTAGGATCTATGTAGTTTCATTTTGATCCATATTAAGATGAAAATCAGCATTTATAAATTTTAGTGAATTGTTCATCAAATAGTTCAAAAAATAAATTATTCTATTTATTAAATGCAAGAACATATAGATGTTAATTAGGAGAATTCTATATAGACGAAGGATGTTAAATTTGTGAATCAACTTTTGGATTTTATTCAGTTACTTATGATGCAACAAAGTGTTCAATATTTGATAAAACTAAATTTGCAAATATATCTTCACAAGCTATTTAATTATTAGAAGGATATTGGAGGCCAAATTTATATTCTGATTATACTGATTATTGTTTTAAGAATATAAAATTTTGTAAAGGAGGATGGAATGTAGGAGATGAACTTTGCTCATTGGGACATATTGGAGGTTTATGTGAAGAATGTGATTATCACAATAGAAGAGGGGAAGGAAGTTTTTTTAAGAATTAATAGGATTCAGAATGTTATAATTGCTCAATTAACACGATTACACCCTTTATTTTCTCTTTTCTTTGGTATTAATATAAATTTATTAAAGGGCTATTATTTCTATTGTTATTACTTTAAGAAGCATAGAAAAATCTAATTTATTATTTTCTAAACTTTAATTTAAATTAAGATATAGAAAAATATTATTTAAATTAGAAAAAGGTATCAAAATTATATTATTTATATTTTAGATATGGAAGGTATTTTTATTAAGATGTTGTTTATTTATTTATGGATATTTTCGGTTATATTTAGTTTTAATATTAAATTTTCAATCTCATTTTCATTCATTGATTAAACTAGTAATACTTCTTAATTTATGGCATCAAGTATTGATTGTTATTTATCTGAAATTACTTAAATTGAACTTATTTACATTAGAATTATTGTTACTATTTTATTGATTCTAATTGAATTTGGAATTATTTTGATAGGATATCAAATATATATATTGACTTCTATGGGAAGGTTTCAAACCTACATTATCTCTAATACATTATTATATTTATACATATCAAATTTTTCTGGATTAATCAAATAGTAAATTTTAATTTATATTTAGATTTTGTTCAATTGTGTCAACAAGAATAATATCAAATATTGAATATATTTAGGGAGATTTAACATTAATTTTTGGTTCATTAAATCATAATGAATGGATATATAAATTTGCTATTCCTGGATTAATTGTATTTGGATTTTTTATCCCATTTGCTTTATTTTTGTTTATGTTTATTACCAAGAAAAGATTTAATTAGATTTAATTTAGAAGACATATTTGTTATTTATTTGATGAATACAATGAATAAAACTACTTCTGGGAGTAAATCAAATTTTCAAAAAAGATTATTATTATTCTTGTTATGACTTATTTTGAATCTAATATACTATTAAAAGCAACTTTATTAGGGTTATTTTTATTAATATACTAAATAATAGCAGGAAGGTAATAACCTTACAATTTATAAAAATTAAATAATTTGGATCTTTAAGCAGTATAAATTTGCTCTATTGCAATTTTTGTTGCAATTGCTAAATATGTTAGTGAATAATAATTTGAGAATGCAACTTCACAAATATTGTAAGTGTTTATTATGCTTCTTTGTATTAAATTATGTTATCAGTTTATTTTAGATATCTTTAGAGCATATGTTAAGAAATATAGAACATTTTTCATAACAATTCTCTATAATTTTCTTAAATCAATAAAATCAAATTCTAGAAATACAATTTATCTAGGTAATTTATTAATATAGTGGAGTACCAATGAAAAAAGAGTGCAATCAAATTTTTAAATTTTAAAAGCACATTTATTAAAAATATCAAAAGCATAAATCAAAACTCAAAAGTATTATCATTTTATAAACTAGATCCTTTTACAATATTACTCCAAATTAAAATTTGGCATCATTAACCAGATATAAACAATTCAATACAACTAAAAATAGAATCTTATTAACATTAGAATAATGATTTAAATTTTAAAAGTATATATAATTAAATAGTTCATTATTATAAATTTTGTTTATAATCTAAAGAAAAATAATTATAGTTCTTTTATCTGCTAATTAATTTAAATTTTGAATTTTATATCAAGAAATTTTAATGAACACCTTATTATTTTGTTATTAATTAGGCTACTAATTTATTTAGGTTATTTTTCTATAAATTTAGAATTATTTTTCATTTTATTTTAATCAATATGAATTCGAATTAGTATATATACTAATTTAATGTGTAGTTTTTATAAATTATAGTAAAATTTGGAAATTTATGACATCGATGTTATGCTTCCTTTTTAATTAAAATAGAGGAATCTGCTTTACAGGTTGATGATCATTAAATATTATGAGAATTTTTATGATCTGATTCAATAAGTATTTTGGTTCTAGAATCAGAAAATTGCCTCTTTTAATTTCATTAAGATCTAGTCATTCTATAAAAGATTTTAAAATATGTATATAATAATTTTGAAGAAATTAAAGAGACCAGTTTTTCAAATGAAAAGTAATTTAAAATGCAGTTCTTAATAAGAATAGTTGGAGCTGTTAAATAAAAATGATGGCAATAATATCTTACAACTATTTTTCAATTTTAGATGACATAATTATTATAATATCTAAAAGACCTTCCATATTTTCTTTCTCATTACTAAATTAGAAATTTAAAGAGAAAAGAATTTAATTGTTTCTAAAATTGTAAAATAATAGATTTTTAATAAATATCATCACAGGTGATTTGGCATTATTGAAATTTAAATAAAGTAGTAAGATTAATAATTAATTTGCATATTATTTCAAAAGTTAAAATAGATCAGAAAGTTAGGAAATATATATAAAGAATGTTAAAAATATCAAATACATGAGGTCATATTTCTTAACAAGAAGAGGAAATATAAGAATAATATAAATATCACAA